TAGATCAAGAGCAGGTCTGCCGAATGGTGTTTGGACGGTAAGCATGTTAGATAGCTTAACATGGCTCAGATGGTATTCTATTATAATCTTAAATTCTACTTAACGAAAGAAATCAATCTGTATTTTATTCGACACACAAAGTCTCTGGTTTAATGATCTCATTTTTAAAGAAGAATCTATATTCCTATGAATGAATATCAGCTTCTTGCTTTAATATCCATTAGCAGTGTTCCAGTTCAGAGACTATAGTGATGAAATAACATGGTTTCTTTTCCATTTTAAAAATAAACCACGCAAGTTTGTGTGTTACTTAATTACCAGTGTCTTCACAAACCAAATTGACCTGTTTTCCAGTTAAGAACCAGAAATAATGATAAATAATATGTGTCAATTCAGAATAAAAATACCTTTGAAAATTATGATTTGCTATGACCCCCTAATGATGATAAAATCAGGTCCCTTGGTAGTTTAAATGCTACATATATATAAGCAGCAGGGAGAGGTATTTAATGTTACCCATTTTTTCAGTCTAACTTTTCTAAAAGAGGAAGATTCCTCAGTTTAAAATAAACATAGGCACAGCTGTATTTCTGATTTTATAAGCTAATGAAGTCTCATTGAAGTTCTTCTCTTCTCTCTTTTTTTAGGGAAGAGTTGAAACAGGGTCTCTCGATGTAGTGATGTGGGATGTCCTTCTGCAAATGTGTTGCTTTATTGGTTGATGAATAAAGTTTTTTTTTTGGCCAATGGCTTAACAGTAAAGCCAGGGGGAATCAACCTAAATGCCTCTCTACCAAAGAACAGTTTGGTAGGGCTCTAGGTAGTGGTGGAGGCACCTAACCCAGCACTGTGAGATGCTGAGGCAAGAACATTGTGATGAGGCCAGTCTGGACTTCATGAGTTTGTTTCAAAACAAACAAAAGCTTTAAAATAGTTTGCACAGTGTGGACAAATGGCTCAGATGAAGACCTGAGTTAGATCCCAGGACCCACAGAGTGGAAGAAAAGAAACGACTCCCTCAGGTTTCCTTCTGTCCTCCATAGAGGGCACACATGCTCTGACATACATAGTCTCTTTTACACACACACACACACACACACACACGTAAGCAAATTATTAAAATAATTTGTATTCTACTGGTGAATTATTTTTATTTTTAATTACATTTTTTAATACTTTTTTCCTTCAAATATGTAAAAAAATATGTAATGGATTGTGGAAAAAACCAAATAAGTAGGAACAGAGAGTTTTCAAAAACTTGTTCTTTAAAGACTGACAGGAAGCTGCCTCATCGGGACAAGCCTCGCCCTTCCACGTTTTGTTTACTCTATCTGCTTTCCCTATTTATTGTGTTAAATTGACTTTCTATTGCTCCTTTGAGCACTATGACCTAAGCAACACTGGGAAATCCAGTTTATACACCAAGGACTGAGTAGAAAAGAGTTCAGTGGGAGCTCTAAGGGCTTCGTGTGGGTTCTTGGGTGGGTGAGAGGCCACAGGAGGCGGCAGGTCCTCTGTGGTCCACCTTTGTGGTGTAGAGAAGAACCACCAGCATCATGTCCTAGGACCTTTGTGACAGTTGGTGTAACAGAGCCAGGCAAGACATCTCTTTGAAGTACGAGATAAAGAACCAACCTGCACGGACTATATCATTATCTTGACCTAAGCGGTACTTAAACACTACGCTCAGCCGCCAACTAGACCCTGATACTATGCTCTTTTGTTCCCTAACTACACCCTGTGAGGGAGCCCAGTGAGGAAATCTCAGGAGGAAGTCGCTTCTCTATCTTCCTTCTTTTAATTTCTGTTTGTAAATAAAATTAATATTAGCATTTTTAGAAGAAAATTAGTATTACTCAGACTCTATTTGTAAGATGAGTACATGGTAGTGATCTGGAAATCATTTTGCTGTAGCTGTTTCCACATTAAAATCTCAAAGGGTCCCAGGACATTTTTTCAGTACATGAGAAGTTTTGTGTGCTAATACACAAATTCAGGAGTACACCAAAAATTATCTTGAGGCTTACATTTTTTTTAATTCTCTGGAAAAAATATGAAATACAAGATAATACACAGGGAAAGAACCTTAAAAATCATTATTCTACATACAAAGACAAAACATTTGACAAGAGAAAGAAAATGAAATATAATCCACACAAAACTTCCAACTGCCCGAAGAGTCCTTGCCATCCCAAGACAACAGGATTGTGTCCTTGAGATGTGGTATGTAGCAGTTAATACCTATTTAAAAATTGTAACTCCTGAAGGCAAGGTGCGAAAATTTAGACTTTGTATCATCACTAGCAGACAACCGACCAGGTTTCATTCACTGTGAATTAACCATCGGATTCATTGCTCTACATGCTATGGGACCAAGAGATTACAATGCCCCCTCCTAGACCGTGTTGGTTTACTGGGATAAAAAGTTTGTCAAAAGTTAAGCAAGTAGGGAGGGGGGGGCTGGAGAGACTGCTCAGCCATTAAGAGTTAAGAGCACTGGCTGCTCTTCCAGAGGAACTGGGTTCAAGTCCCAGCATCCACATGGCAGCTCACACCTGTCTGTAACTCCATTTCCAGGGCTTCAGGCACCCTCACACAGACATACATGCAGGCAAAACACGAATGCACATAAAATAAAAATAAATTACATAAAAAGTGAAACAATATAAAAAACAAAACAAACAAGCAAAAAAGTCCACCCAATCCTTTCTCCAAAAGAATATAAAAGGTTCTATATTATATCAGTTAAGATGTAAAATATAGCATATACATTAAAAATGTAGCAATAAATGTCACAAAAGTTGCTATCAGTCTCAAAGTATGCTGTCTTGAATATGATAGCATTATGTCGCAAAAAAAAAAAAAGAGCCACAGGGTCTAAAGAAACACTGTCCAAAGCAGAAAATTCCATCTCAATTTGCTTACAAAGTGTACTGATCACCTTGCACATACCTATGCCAGTGCTGTGTGCAAGCTTTAAAAGGTTATAGCATGTTGGTGGGGTGGTGCTGTTACGAGCCCAACACTTAAGAGCCCTGGCAGCTCTTGCAGAGGACATGGGTTCAATTCTCAATACCCTTTAAGGTTGTTCACAACCATTTGTAACTCCAGTTCCAGGGGATCTGACACGGTCTTTTGGCCTCTGCAGAAATATATATATATTTCCAGCACCATATCTCATATATATATATGACATTTGCTTTTTCTATTATTTTTGTTCTTTATTATTCTTCTTCCTCTCTCCTTTCAGTGTTAGAGATCAAATCCAAGGCATTGACCCCATAAGCAAGACAAACACTCTGCTACTGACTTGCATTGCCAGCCCTTGGGTTTCCATGTTCACAGGAATGGTTGAATAGTGGCATTCCTGAAACCATCTTTGCTTTCTATCCTTTTTTAGAAAGAGTGTGGCAATATTAAAGGAGTTGTGAGATATGTATCAGCCAAAAGTTATTTAGGAAAGTGGGGGGAAAGTGTGTGTGTGTGTGTGTGTGTGTGTGTGTGTGTGTGTGTGAGAGAGAGAGAGAGAGAGAGAGAGAGAGAGAGAGAGAGAGAGAAACAGATAGGAGAATATGCGCAGTCACATGCATGTGTTGAATGGGTCAGCTTCCTTGTTAACCTGTTATTTCAAAGTTCTAAGTTATATTCCTTGTTCTCTAATGTCTATACTTATTTTGTTCTTTTTACTTTTTACAATTAAATTGTTTTGAGAAAGGATTTTGCTATGTACCTCAGGCCACCCCTAAATCCACATCCCACCTTCCTTGGCCTTTGCTAGTGCTGGGCTCACAAGTGTGTGTCACCATATACGGCTCTGGCTTTTATTTACCTAGTCAGCCTCTCTTTAGCACTGAGTTTTCTAGGTTATGTAGGCTCAGATTTTGGTGAGGGAGGATAGTTTCCTATCAAACATTTTGTGTTCCCTAAAACCAAGGCTTATCAGAGGGTGTCATGGATCACTTAACAGGGATTTTGTTTTTTTAAAGAAAGGGTTTCTCTAATTTATCAATGATTTATAATTACAAAAGAACATTTTGTTTTGGTTATAAAAGCAAATTTTCAGTCTGAGACACAACGAATAATTATACTATGAAAGTAGATGAGTGGGGACTGGAAAGATGCCCCAGTGGTTAAGAGCATTCACTGATCTTGCAAAGGACCCGGGTTCGGTTCCCAGCACTCACATGACAGCCCCACTGTCACTTCAATTCTGACATATCCAACACCTCCTTCTGGTCTGATACGTATGCACTAACAAGATACACACATGCACACATAAATAAATGCATATAACTTGCTTAAAATTAAGAGATTTTTACTATTTCCATTAGTAATATATAATATGTAATACTATAACAACAGTAGTAATAATAGTGTACAGTATGTATTACAAATAAGATTTCTAATGTGTAGTGTTTGATAACATATAAAATTATTACACAGTGAAACACTTTACTTCTAGTCTTTAAAGTATTATACTGGATGGAGTACTTTGATATAGAATAGTACACATAATGTGATTCCACTTATAAGAATTTCTAGGCAATGTAAAGCCACCCATAGAGACACAAAGAGGGTAGGGGGTTTCCCAGAAACAAGAAGAGGGAAGCAAGAGAAGGAAGGGGTCCTCTTTTCTGCTGGGAATACGTGTCATTTTGGCCTTGCCTGATAGTTTCAAAGACGTAAGCACACATTAAAACTTACCAAAATTGAACATTTTAAATATGTATGTGTAAGATGATGATTGTATTCAATAAACCCTTATAGAACGCTAATCTTGATGGCTATGTTATCCTTGTTCAGATGAACCGTGCTAATATAATCACTACACCCACATCTATCTAGGCTTTAAGCTGACACACAGAATTAAGAAAGAGCCCCGCAGCTGTGCTTGGCAGGAGGACGAGTCCTTCTGGTGTGCAGAGGTCAAGGCCCGGGTGACTTATCTTAAGCTTTTCCACCAGCACTCATCAGTTCACTTTTGTCAGCACAGGACTCACTTTCAGAACTCTCACTCCTGGGGTATCTTGACAAGCTCACAGGACCGGAGCTGTGTAAGCCGTGGTGTGGGGTTAGCAGCTTTCGCTGTAGAGAAGAAAAGAGTGAAAAGCAATGATTCAAGGATGTGAGAACGCTGGGTATCTTTATTTTTGTCATTAATATCTAGGAGAAGAAAATCACTTGTCTAACATGGGTTTTATTGTGACGTTTTCTTACGTGCATATGCACTGCAATTACCCTGAAAAGTAGAGTTTTAGGCTTCGTAGCACTTCCTCAGTTTCTTCTAGCCACACTACACTGTGGCTTCCTTCTGGTCACTTCCTTAATCCAGACCCTGAACCCTTTTCTGTGGTCTGCCCATGCTTCTCAACCAGTCCCCATCTTTCGGGCCTCAGTCACTCAGTGCTTCTCACTATCTGACTCATCAAAGCTCTTCACTCTATAAAGCAGTTTGGGTTCTCCAGGAAGCAGATTCAGCCAGAGTTTAGAGCTCCGGATGTTTATCAGGGAGTGGTACTTGAGTCAACACCCAAGCAAAGGAGGGGGCAGAGGCAGAATTGGGAAGAGGGCGAAATCCAGCTGAGATGCAAGCCAGACAGTGCCAACCAACGGTGTAGGGTGCTCAGGAACTTGAAGTAGAAAGCAGTGGTGGCCTGCCTGTCTGGGGAAGGGTGTGACCTTGGCTTGCCTGTGGGAGGAAGGGTGTGACCTTGATCTGGAAGGGGGGGGAAAGGTGTGCCCTGAATGGGACTTCAGAGGCAAAGTCTGAGAGTGTTGGCGGCTCTGCAGGTAGTAGAAGCAGCAAGTCCCTTACAACACCTCAGAGGAGGTTGGACGGAGGGGGCCGCTTGTTGGTTCTCTACCAGGTCAAGCTCCCCCATGCCATCATTCCAACCGGGCACAGTCTTTATCACACTTCATAGTAGTGTGTTGCTTGGGTGTGTTTTTTTTTCCCATGCAAAACACCAAGAGGTCATAGTGCCTGCTGTAGCAACCACTCTGGTTTCCTCAGTGCCTTGTGGTGACACAGTAGATACTCAGAATGAGGATTGAAAGACTGGTGAATCCAAGTTCAGAGGGCATTGCAAGAACCAAAGGTTCTTAGCCATACATTTGCTTTGGTGTGTACCAGAGTCGGTGACAGTGGAATAGGAAGGCAGACTTCAGGCTCCATAATCTCATAGCCTAATAAGTCGGTCCCAACTCAAGGAAGAGCTCTTGAGAGCTCTACCCTATCCCCTGAGCATTTATAGGCAGTGAATGGTTTCTAAGTGAGAGAGATGTTTTCTTCAGTGATGTAGCCACTGAAAAGGTATGTGTGCTTCTGTAAGTGTTCCTCCCATTTTATTGAGGACAACACTGCCTCTCTCTCTCTCTCTCTCTCTCTCTCTCTCTCTCTCTCTCTCTCTTTCTCTCATACACACATATGCACACATACAAATACACATAAACACACAAAGAAACATGAAAATAGAAGGGAGACTAACTGGGAAGAAGGGGCTCATAAAAGGTGAATATAAACAAAATACATTATATGTGAAGATATCATAATGAAACCCATTATTATATGTAACTAATATATACTAATTGGTTTGAGTGAGAATGCTCTCCATAGGTTCATATATTTGAGTGGTTGGTCCCTAGTCAGTGAACCTTATGAGAAAGATGGGTGTGGCTTTGTTAGAGGAGCCACTGTGAGGTTTCAAAAGTCTACACCACTCCTACTGAGTGCTCTCTCTTTTTCTCTCTGTGCTCGCTCTCTCTGCCTCATGTTTGTGATCGAATATAAGCTCTCAGCTACTGCTCCAGCACCATGCCTGCCTGTAACAGCAGGCCACTTGTTGGTTCCTGGCTGCTTTGCCCCGAAATAACCAGATACTGTATAAATTAAATCACTGATTGGCCCATTACATATAGCCTTCTGAATTGAGAAATTCCTACCCGAGAGACCCACTGAGCTGAGATCCAGATCCTGTGCTCCCAGTAGAGTTGGTCCACCCCAACATCTGCCCCATCTAAGAGCTACTGGAGCAGGTGCGGCAGAACTAGATCCAGGCACAAGTCATCCACACTGAGGATTGAAACCTGAAGCATGGCTATGACTGAAGCCAGCACCCACCACAGGGGAACAGCCCCAAGCAGCCAAGAGACCCATGGAGGCCCTGAGGGAAGACAAGGTGGTAACAGAGGAATCTGCTGTGTCCACAGTGTCCATGGGAAGAAACTTTTAAAAAGAGAACTCACGGTGATGTGGGATGTCCTTCTTTATATGTGTTGCTTTTATTGGTTAATGAAAAAAAGCTGCTTTGGCCTTTGGCAGGGCAGAAAATAGCCAGGCTGGAAGAGATAGAGAGAGAGTAGGAGGAGTCAGGGAGATGCCTTATAGCTGCCGAAAATGAAAGATGCCTACAAGAAGGACACAGTCTTGTGTGATAAAATGTATAATAATAGAAATGGGCTAATTTAAGATAAAAGAGATAACTAGAAATATGCAGAACTATTGGCCAGTGTTGCAATTAATATAGCTTCTGTGTAATTATTCAGGTCTGAGAGGCCGGGATATGAATGAGCAGTCTCTGTTTACAAAATGACACCTATCTTTTGAAGCGTGGATTCACATAAGACCTAAAAAAAAGCTTTTTTGTTGTTGTTGTTGTTTGTTTGTTTGTTTTTATTTTTTATTTTTTTTAAAGAGGGCTTCTAGTCCCACAAAACAGGAGCCAAGGGCAGCTTCTTGGTAGCTGCATTTTCTTTTTCCAGATAGGCTCTGTTTGCAGGCCACAAGCGGAGAGGCAGTTCCTTTAAGAGCCAACTTCCTGGTTCTTTCTGATGGCATGGAATGGCTCTGACTCTTTTGTGAGGTCTGGCTATGGAACACTTAAATGGGGTTTGTGAGCTGAGTGCTACAACTTGCTTAATGGCAATCATGTGCCCCTGACGATGAGGCAATGAGCAGGGCTCACAGAGGTGGTGAATAAACCTCCACCATATTAAAAGGCCGAGAGAAGCAGAGCAAGCATTCAGCGCTGCTGCAACCATAATGCTTACCATTTTAAAATGTTCCTTGTCAGAAAAGGATTTCAGTTACACAATAGGACATATTCACACATAAAAGACTTCTGGATGAGACACAGGGTGTTAAAAATATATATGCGTAAGCTTGGGAGAAAGAGGAAAAAGAATATTGACAGTTATAAAAAGAAGTACAACATTTTTAAAAATAAATAAAAGTCTTTAAAGAGACAGTTAAAGTAATGTAAAAGAGTACAGATAGTCATAGATTAAAAGAGTATAGAAAATAAGCCACATAAAGATGGAATGTACACAGAGAATCTGGATTATGTATACTATCATATTTTCTTTGAATTTTTTGACTGTGAATGAGCTAAGTACAGAGAGATGTTTCATTGTATGGGCTACTAAAATAAACCAACAAATATATTTTAAAGATATCTTGACTTCACAATTAAAACCTAAGGATGTGTTGCTTTGGAAAAGAGGTTCTGCTTTTGTTTCCATAGAAAATGAAAACCTGTGGATTCCTTCCAGGCTAATGTGGTTTGATGGAACCAGACCCTCAAAAGGTCTCTATGAACCCTAGAAATACTTCACCCAACAAACAGCAGGAAGCAGTTTGAATAAAACTATGCCCAAATTCCCAAAATTATTGTTTAAAGTGTTTGTTTTCATTGAAAGGGGGTTGATTATAAGTAATTAATGGTCACAGTCAATTTCTTAAAAAAATAATGGGAATATGACATAGACATGAATATTTTGCATTGGTATGGATTTTAGTCTATTGATACAAATTTAAGGTTCATTTTTATACTTTATAATTTTGTTATACTGTGTATATGTATTCCTGCTCTTGTTTAAGGTATTATGTTTATTAATAGATAGTCATCTAGAATAGTCAAGCTAGTCATATTAGTTAGGTTTTCTAGATGTACAGAGATATATTTCAGATGGATAGGTATTCTTCAACCCTTTCAAAGACCTATAGAACATGGCTTTTAAAAAGGTTTCAAGGGCTTAAATTTTTCTGGGCAATGAGACATGTCTGCTTCTGACAGCACCAATTGCTTCAAGAGAATTATGGGTATTAAAGAGGCTCCTTATGGAGTTTTCTATCTATTTGTGCAAGAAACTGTTCTCGCCTAGACTGCTTGATGATATGCTGTATGAATTGGACATGCAGCACCCACAGAAAAGTGACAGCTGAACTTTTCAAAAAATGGGATGATCCTTCAGGGCTCCTGCTTCACAGAAGAAACTGCCAGATATTCTGCAGGACACAGAAGAAAGCAGTTGACAAACTTTATTATTACAAGTCAAAACAGATCTTCAAATTCCCAGATTCACTGAAGAGTCTGTCAGATACTATGGGCCTGTAGGCTAAAGATTGATGCCCAAACATTACAGAAGAACTTTGGGTGACTGTCCAGGCAGCGAGATGTTTCTATCAGTTCTGGAAGTTGCTTACTTCCTGTTTACTTAGGTAATATTATATCCTTCTGGGGTCTTTGATGGAGTTGAAGAATATATAGTTACAGTTACAGTCTTCCTTAGTTGTGATAAAAATAAATTAGATATGAAACTTTAGACTCACAAAGAAATATTATAACTGTAATTCTTGCTTGATACCTGTTTTGTTTTTTATATGAAATTTTGCTATGCTAAACTTAAAATCTTCCTTTTTAATTAGGCAGAAAAGGGGAGATTATGTGGCATGTCCTTCTGTACATGTGTTGTCTTATTGGTTAGTGAATAAAGCTACTTTGGCCTATAGCAGTGCAGAATATAGCTAGACTTGAAGAGATATAGAGAGAGTAGGTAGAGTCAGGGAGATGCCAAGTAGCTGCTGTAGGAGAAAGACACCTCCCAATATGCCACAGCCTTGTGGTAAAATACAAAATAATAGAAATGGGTTAATTTAAGGTATAAGAGCTAGCTAGAAATATGCATGAACCATTGACCAAACAGTGTTGCAATTAATATAGTTTCTGTGTGATTATTTGGGTCTGGGTGGCCTGGATACGAATGAGCAGTCTCCATTTACATTAGGCCCTCACAATGGTGGTGCA